GGGGGTTGTGGGTTGGGGTGGGGGGGGGCGCGGGGGGGGGTGGGGTTTGCTGTCACTCAGCGTGGATCAGCTGCCCTCGGGTGCTTTTTCTCCTCATATTGTTTCTCTGTGCCTTATCATGTTTTTTTAATATCAGGATCATTATGGTATGAGTGCAAGTTTGTGTGTGTAGGCATGCTTGTAGGGATATACATGTTGATATGTGTATGTTGGGGAGGCGGCTCTTTTTATGTTGTAAGTTTTGAATATTTTAACTGTACAGCATTTTGAGTTGCATTTTTATGTATGAAAAGTGCTATATAAATAAAGTTTGATGAATACATGCAGTTGCTCTGTTTTGGAAAACAATCACTGCTGTGGAATGCTTAGGACTCAAGCTATTTAAATCCAGATGAATCATTTCGCTCGACATCGCGTTTGCCTTCGACAAAATATGTTGAAACCCCAACAGTATTGTTAGATCATAGTTGCGATGAGTATTTAAAAAAAAAAAAAAAAAAAAATGCAAGTTGGAGACTCGGCGGGCCTGACTACCACCCGTGACCCCCCCCTAACAATGGCAGTTGCAGAGAGAGATGATGTGAGAACGGGCAGGGGTATCAAGCTGCCACGGCACACTGCTGCTCAACGGCCAATGCCGAGTAGAAAAAATGTCTGAAGCGTTCTGTCTTGATGGAGTTGAGTGGCAGCTGCCAGCTTCCCTATATTTCAGTTCTCCCACTGTGCATGATTTGAATCACCTGGATTCATCATTTGACAAGACCCACATTGATAATGGACATCACTCAAAGGAGTTCGCAATCTGGGCTCGGGACAAAATGGATTTTCCGGGTTTTGTAAACTCACAAATCCCGCAAGAATTCAGCATGCAGGCAAGGTTACCTAAAAGTGACGAGTTACAGTAGTAAGTGACCTGGGGGTTGCGTGGGTGCTATGCAGCCCGCCAACTGTCAATGTCACGTTATAAGCTCTTCAAACTATGTTAAGTTTGTTCTGAATGTATGCCAATGTCGTTACGTGAGTCTACAACACTTTGTGTGCACTTTGACGACAACGCTGACTTTACAAACTGCCTCAGGAGCCTAACGACAGTGTGAAACATGATACAATACTTGCAGCAAGTAAAGCAAAACCATAGCCATGAGCAGGGCTCTGTGATCACTTATTCATAATCATTAAAACATCCAAAATACAATCTTTGTATTTTCCCACGGGTGTTTCTGCAATTGATGACAATTTGTCCAACTGATTGCCCATGTTTTTCAACCTGTTTATTCAAGAGATAGTGAGATCAATGGTAGCAGAACTGAAACAACAAGTTTCACTTGTGAAATCATTCAAATATGAACACCAAAATTTGGAAGGTAAACAACTAATTTTTATGATATACTGTAATCGCTAATAGATTGGAAGGCCAAATCACAGGTAAACCCTGGTTAGCAGGTATTGTGATTATCAATAGGTCCATCTCAATAAATTGAACTATTGTGGAAAATGTTATTTTATTTTGGTAGTTCAATGCAGGGCGGCCCGGTGGTCGACTGGTTAGCACCTTGGCCTCACATTGAAGAGGTGCAGGGTTCAATTTTCCAGCTCCGGTCTTCCTGTGTGGAATTTGAATGCTCTCTCCATGCCTGCGTGGGTTTTCTCTGGGTATTCCGGTTTCCTCCCACATTGCAAAAACATGCGTGGCAGGTTTATGGAACACTCTAAATTGTTACAAGGTGAGAGTGTGAGCATGGATGGTTGTTAGTCTCTGCATGCCCTGCGATTGGCTGGCAACCGGTTTAAGGTGTCCCCCGCCTACTGCTCAAAGACAGATGGGATAGGCTCCAGCACCCTTTGTGAGGATAAGCGGATCCGAAAATGGATGGATGGATGAGTGGATGGATGGATGGATCGTTCAATGAAAAAAGTGAAACTCAATAAATGATTTCACACAGATTACAAAACTACATGATGTTGTAATTTTTATGATTGTCGCTTCAGGCTCACCAAAAGCCCTAGTTTTACTCCCTCAAGCAACATGTTTTTTGGGGGGGGGGGGGTTAAGAAAAAGTAGTAATAATTAAAAATTAAATAAATAATTGCACCCCATGACAAATACCCAAAATTCAGTTGGTAGAAAAACATTGAAATGAAGTGACTTGAACCATGGAGTTGAATCGAGCCACATTTACCTGCTGTAATTTCCACTGCTTGTCCTCCCTGAACTGGAAGTGGTGCACTTGACTGCTCTTTGCCACCTTCAGATTGATATCCTGTTGAAAGTCAAAACAAAGACGTCGTTGAGCTGGAGCAAATTGTGATGTCATTTTCATAGAAGGAAACCACAAAACACAGGTCAACTCAACCTTACCGCCTGAGTCAGAGCCTCTCCTTGTAGCGTCAGCACTCCTTTCACCTGATCCATGCTGTAAAACAACACTTTTTTTTTTTTTATAACTTCCAACATCAAAGCAACGTGTAATAAACGTGTTCATGTTGGAAGTCATGACCTCCATCGATAGCTCGAATACAATCCATCACGCATGAGCAATGAGTCATTAAGACAATGGTAGGCGGCATTACGTTGAACTGCCCAGGATGAAGTTTTCCTGTTTGAGCTGACTCTCTAGGCCAGGCGTCGGCATGGTGAAACGTCTTGAAGCTTCCTGTGAAAGAGCAAAACAAAATGCAGACATTAGGAGAGAACCGGGGGGTTGCGATCAATGCTCTCAAAAGGGGATCAATATTAATTGAGGAGGACTTTTGACCTGTGCAAAGCAAAGGGCCATCCTTAAGTGTCAACAAAGTGATGGTTGACCTTTGATTTGAAAACCTCACCTGGAGACGTGGGCAATCTGGAACTAATAAGGACGGGCTCGAGCAAAAAAGTGCATCTACGACTTCATCAGTTTATAGAGTAAAAAAAAAAAAAAAATATATATATATATATATATATATATATATATATATATAGATGACTTTATTCACTCTAAAAACTCTCATTAGTGTAACAGACCTGAAGATGTGGATGTTTAGGTTTTTAACGGCTCATGTCCCACAGCAGATGCATGTGGCAATAGTGACATATTGTATTGTCAGTTTGTACTGACAGTTTTATTCAAAATTACTCAACCGACATTGCAAAAGTCATTTATTTGCAAAGGTGACAAACTCACAGTGAAACCCCGGTCAAACTCAACTTGTGCAACTTTCCAGTGATATGCTTCCTCCAAATGCTATAACTTAAGGTGGAGCAAAAAGCGGACTTATGTAGAAAAAAATAAAAGTTTTCAGTTCGTATAAGACAAATAAAATCTGCTCTGAAATATTTCATTCTTCAAATTTTGTGAGGTGTCCTTTTAGACCTGCAACTAATGATTATCTGAATAAGGGTGAATTATTTTGTCAATGATTTTGACCAAATAAATTAACAAATAAATAAACGTTTAAACGTCCAACCCGTTACTCAAAATTGACAGTGCAGAAAATGCACAAACAATAATTAATTGGGATTAAATTTCTGGTTTGATTCATAAAATGATTTTCTTTCTCTCTTTTTTTTTTTTTTTTTTAAATAAATTAAAAGCAGTTTTAGACTACAGAAATCAAATACTGTTGAGAAGATGAAATTCCTTTTATTTGGACAATTTTTAAAAAGTCAATTAATTTGTGCACCTCTTTTTCCTATTTCAAGCAGTCAACACTGCCGAAATCACAAGACGTCATCAGGTCGGTCATATGATGTCATTCTTGCATACAGTGCATTTAAAAAAATGGCACATCACCCTTATATGGGCAACAGTGGAGTAAACATAAACAAAGCTTGACAAACACAATTGCCCTCTTTCACAACAGTTTAGACTCGTGTGCCATGTGATCGGACTTGCCTGCAATTGAGTCAACTGGCCATCACACACCAAAAAAAGTCTGTTCTCAAAACAAGAACATGAGCTACGCATGAAGCTCATATGCACTCATGAGAGGTCTCTGTGCTGGATGGACTTTTCTAAAACAGCATCATGATCATGTGAAATTGCGCCTGACGGCTAACGGATGCCGTGAGGTGATTGTTAAGAGTAAAATGAGAGAGCAGCAAAGGAAGAAAAGAAAATAATTACCTTATTTTATACACCATAAGGCGCTTGGGAGTATAAGGTGCACCTTTAATGAATGGCCTATTTTGAACCTGCTTTCATATATATAGGGCGCACCGCTTTATATTTTCCTCCACAAATTTTCCTTGACTTCGGTCAAAAAGTAGCACCCTTCCCCCTCAGGTGTGCACACCTCAGCCTGATGGGGTAGACGTGAGATACATGTAGGCGACATCAATAAACAAGTACAGTCACCCTCCAGTGGGTGTAAAAGACATTCACAGTCCTTTTCAAATGACTGATGACTCCCATTTAACAGTGAGTTTAAGTAAGTGGTAACAGAGTTTGACATTAAGTTTTGATGAGTGAGTTGTGGTGACCCTGTCAGAACCGGTATTCACCCAAGTGCACTTTACGTGGTGGCATAACCAAGCACTAACCATGACATGGTATTAACGTCAATTAGAATCAGAATCATCTTTATGAGCCATGTATGTAAAACACACAAGGAATTTGTCTCCGGTAGTGTAGGCTGCACTAGTATTGCAATAACAAGCAAATACGAAAAGCAAAGACGTGACATAAGTATAGAAAGACATTCTGTAATGTCATGGTTGATAGGCCTCTGCAACATAGCGTGGTCAACGGGGAAAGTGCCTCTGGATTGGCAGGCCGAGGTGGTGGTCCCTCTTTTTAAGAAGGGGGATGGAAGGGACTTTGTATCTGTCTGTCGTAGTGAAGAAGGAGCTGAGCGAAAAGGCAAAACTCTCAATATATCGGTCACTCTACGTTGATCACGAGCTGTGGGTCATGACCAAAAAAAACGGCTGAAATGAGTTTTCTCCGCAGGGTGTCCAGGCTCTCTTTCAGAGATAAGGTGAGAAGCTCAGAGTTGAGCCGCTTCTCCTCCACGTTGAGAGGAACCAGATGAGGTGGATCGGGCATCAGATTAGGATGCCTCCTGGACGCCTCCCTGCTGAGGCCATGTCCCACCGGCAGGAGCCCCCGGGGACAACTCAGGCCACAGTGGAGAGAGTATGTCTCCCGGCTGGCCTGGGAATGCCTTGGGGTCCCCCGGGAAGAGCTGGAAGAAGTGACTGGGGAGAGAGAAGTCTGGGCTTCCCTGTTCAGGCTGTTGCCCTGTGACCCTCTATAAGCGGTAGAGAATGGATGGATGGGATGGACGGTAATGCTAGGTGCTAGGTAATGTTAGGGAATGCTAGGTAATGTTAGTTCACGCTTAGCTTGCGAACGTCATGTGACCAAACTCAAGTGCAACATGGCTGACCCCTGAGATAGATAAAGACGGATGGGTTTTTTTCTGCTTAATTAATATTCCACAAGCACACTATTGATCATAATGCCACATTTAGACTAGTAGGGGCGCAAAGAGCATGTTATTGTAAAGAACATTTTTGACTTGACATCCCTTTTAAATTGAGATGACAACAAATTCAACATTGTTAGCTTATCAAGTCTTACCTTAAGGACATCCTGCAGCTGTTTCAGTACAGCATGTACTTCTTCTTTAAGAAGCCAGTTGAACTCCTCCTCCTGGTATAAATTGAATCAGAAAATCAGTAAATGAGGCGTTACAAAGGAAAATGACAGTATATTTTATTTGGACAGTCAAGCAGTCACAACAATGTGATTCAACAAAAGAAGCAGCAATACGATAACGTTAATATTTGTTAGCATTAAGAATCTCATAGAACATTGTTAGGGATGGATAAGATTTTTTTCTTTCTGTGAACTGAACCAGTGCACCATAAAGCAAATGAAGCACCATGAAGCTTTGAATCATGTGCAAATCAATTGGCTGGAAAGTTTCATTGCTTCATGAAGCTTCATTTGCAACAGTGTTGCGCAGTCGGAAGTACTACGCCGCCATGATAGGATGTGTTCAGTGCTGTAGTAATCCTGTGCGTCTCTGAACTACAGTGAGTACACAAGATGGTGATTTACTATACGTAGTTTGCACAGTACTGTGTATATTTGTTGCGGCATTGTGGTTATTGTCCTATATGTACTGTGTATATTTGTTGCGGCATTGTGGTTATTGCCATTTCTGGGACTTGTTTAACTTTGTTGCCGATTTGATTGACAGCTCCTGGTGCATCCCTTTGAAGTTTGTCACGCATGTAATTGAGTCTTCAACGCGACTTGTGGATGCTAACATGGCCCTTTGTGTATGTTAGCGACCTAGCAATAAGTGTAGACAAGAATAGTGCATTTATTTACATGTTTCATGCATCTTAGGCACGTAAAGTCTGCCGTAAATTGGGTCGTGTGCACTTTATTAGCGCCGTAGTCGGCCACTATTTAACATTTATTTGATGTGGTTTCAGCTGTGTATTAGCATGGGGAAGTTGCCCATATTAAATAAGGTTTACTATGTGTTTGAAGTTTACATAATTGTGTACAGCTAAGATAACATACTTCCATGGGGCTGAGTGATCCATTATTATTTGACAAGAGATGTGTCCCTTGCCTTTAAGTATTGAATTGAATACAACTTTATTGTCAAACAGATGAAATTTCTTCCCTCTCAACATAAAAGAAGAGGAGCCGCTGCGGGTGTCCGCACCGCCATCAAAAGAAAAGTTAATAACAAAAAAATGACAAAATAATACAAGACAACACATGAGACACAGACAATCGTGCAATCTTAACCACTTTTCTGCATACACTTTGTTGTCTGAAGCAGTTATAGATGATATAGATTGCAGCATTTTGCGACATCAGAAGCCCAGCATTTGCACTCAAGACGCTGCTTTGTCTCTGTTTATTGCAGAAGCACACACGTACCGAGACCCACTCACACACGCCACACATCCGTGTATCATTGCAACCTGTGCCTGTTTGCCCGCATACCTGTGCTGTTCTCTGTTTGTGTCTGCGACGGGATTAAAGCTGCCAAACCACATCTTCACTCTTTTATTGTGTTATGACCGACACCCAGGGGTGGACACGGTATACAGTTTTTTTTTTCAAGCTGGCGCCCTCGTAGGCAGCAGTCAGCAAGTGCTCTTCAAGAGGTTTGCTTTTTTTTTGGTTAGTTTTTTTTTGTTGTTTTTGTCTTTTGTTTTGTCAAATGGCGTTTGACCGAGGTGGACTGTTTACAGTGTTTTTGGGCACGACATTCGTCAAGAGAGAAGAATCTGTGCTTGGTGGTTGCACTTTCTCAGCAGTCTGCGCTGGTGCAGTTGGATGGATGGCTTGTGGAGGCAAGGATGAGGAGAGGAGAGAGGAGCGTCGGCGCTGAGCGCGGATAAGTATTTGGAATTGAAAGTCTCCGCTTAGAGTTGAAACGGATTTACATGGGACAGGAGAAGTGAACATATCTCTTTTTGCGTCAATGGACGCTACAGCCTCTTGCTTCCTTTCAAACTTAGCTTGCGGCAGACGTGCATATTTTGCGCATGCCGTCTCTGATCCACTGCTGAAAGGACACTTTGATTCTCTCCTCTTTCATCTAGAACAGTGGTTATTAACCTGGGTTCGATCGAAACGCAGGGGTTCGGTGAGTCTGTCTCGGGGGTTCGACGGAGCCCCTGCCATGGAGGGTAAGACACAAGCAACTCAACATGTTAATTAGTTATGACACGCCCACTTGCCCATCACTGGCTGCAGATGATCACATTACATTGCTTGTCCATTCAGTGCGGTGGGAAATTTAGTTCGCTTAGTACTAGTCAACATGTGACTGTTGTGATAGTACGTCGTACAATTAAAAAAGAAAAATAAGTATACTTATCTCTTGTAATTTTATTTACTTGTTTCTCTTTTCAATAAATTCCTTTTTTTTAATATATCTTGAATTTGTAAAAAAAAATATATATATATACTGTACGTATTTTTCACTCATGAAGGGTTCAGTGAATGTGCATATTAACTGGTTGGGTTCGGTATCTCTAAAAAGGTTAAGAACCACTGATCTAGAACTGCTTGTGCGTCGACGTCACAGTGTAGAGGTACCGGGTTCAATTCCAGCTCCGGACTTCCTGTGTGGAGTTTGCATGTTCTCCCCAATGTTTGCGTGGGTTTTCTCCAGGTACTCTGTTTTCCTCCCACATTCCAAAAACATGCATAACAGGCTGATTGAACACTCAGAATTGTTCCTTGGTGTCAGTGTGAGCACGGATGGTTGTTCGTCTCTGTGTGCCCTGCGATTGGCTGGCAAACGGTTCAGGTGTCCCCGCCTACTGCCTGAAGACGGCTGAGATAGGCTCCAGCATCCTCCACGACTCTTGTGAGGATAAAGCGGATCAGAAAATGGATGGATGGATGGATAAAATAAATAAAATAAATACTCTCAATGAACTACACCTGTACAGTCCAACCTAACAGAAACAGTCGAATGCAGATAATCTGAAGGCCGATATCAAAGCATCTTGGGCAACAATATCACCGGAACTGTGGCAAAGGCTGATCACCTCCATGCCATCTTGATGCTGTCATGAATGCAAAAGAGGGCCCAACAAAGTACTGATGGCTGATTACTTTAATACACTTTTCAGAAGCCCAGCATTTCTGAGTTTAAAGTCCCTTATTGTTGGGCACGTGAAATGTTCTTATTTTGTGAAACAGCATTTCAGGGTTCCCACTCTTCCACTTGCTTTTTATTTATTTTTATGTACGTTATGGACCCGTACGAACCCTGCATTTTTGGGGGGGGGTGCGGGTGGGGGGTGTTCTGCCTTAATCATCAAAACTGAAACAAATAAAAGCTTGAAATATCTCACCTTGTCAGTCGTGAACTCACATGACATACAAGTGTCACGTTTTGAAACAAATTATTTAAATAAACGGACTTTCCCTCGAGATTAATTTTTTTAAGCATGCACCTGTATTGTCATTATCGTGTGCCTTTATAACTCTTCCATTTCAGGTGAGCAATAATTAATTTGGGCAAATCCTATAAATTATTGTAAAAAATGACAACATGCGCAATGCAATTACTGCGGATGACCAATGTTGCCTTGGCAGTGTCCTCCCAAGGAAGTTATCATTTATTTCTGATGTAATTACTGGAGGCGTCCGTGACAGTGACGGAAGTAAAATAAAAAAATTGTTGCGTGTCTGCAAAAACCCTGACACGAGTTAGCGGACACGAGTGTCGCATGCCACTTTTCACAGTTGCTCCACGCTCAATTCCACGATTGTTAGGTTCGGCCGGGCCGGCCGCCAGCACAACCACAACACACAAGTGACAGTGCAAACAATTACCGTAACTGGACCTGCATTCTATCGCCCTCGGAGACCTGACTCCATTCTTAACGTGATCCTGCACAATTGCAGCAAACTTCACACCGCACCACTCATTTGGTCAAGCGACTGCGTCATAAGGATTTTGCATTTAAACATATCCAGTGAATGTGAATGAGTGACGCGGCTAGCTTCATGCATTCGCTGCCTTGCAGACTGACAAGACACATCATCATCTTACCAGCACAGCTCTCTCCACTTGACTGGCAGCCGACATCTTGGGCAGTTCTGAGAGAGATCTCTGAGGATTGAGCATGATGATCAGAAAACAGCGGGCAATACTCCGATATCAACCTTAGAACACAATCTTTAATGTCCCCTAACGTGTATACGTTTTCTTCCTAGCTTAGCAGATGAGGTGCTGCCTTCAGAGGCAGTGAGAATTCGTGGACGCCAGAGAGGGGGGACACTATCAGTGGAAAACTGATGCCTTGGCGCACACTGACAACAAAAACTGAACGTAATTCCCAAGCGGAAAAATCACATTACATACATAAAATATAGTTTACGTTTTAATTTTAACTTGATAACGGGGTTTGCCAACTTACTTTATTCGGGAAATCTCTGGACAAAAGCTGCTGTTTGAAAACAAACGATTCACAACAAAAAATACATTACATGTGTCGATGAATCCGAACACGAAAAAAGTGAATTAGAAATTGCGGAGAACCGTGAATCTACCATATCACAGTCACATGCATATAATTAAATGACCCCGCCCATTGATCCTTATTCGGAAGATTTCCGCATCCCATCACTGGCTACTTGCCTGTGCCGCGATTCGAAGGTTCCGAGGTAGGAAAAAACATCATGATGTTAAGACCAGAGGCAGCCCGAGGCATAAGGAAACGAAGCATGTGTTCAGCGCTCCAGGAGAAAGCGCTTGGGATTTTTTTTTCTATTTTTTGGTATGAATACTTACATGTAGCTCATGCAAGACGACTAAAAAAAAAAAAACACATACCACATGCATTCTGTTCTGAAGCATACACGTTTTAATTCTGTTCGTGTGAGTGTAGTGACCCATTTCTACCTTCACTGAAGATCAAACAAAAGATAAAAAAAAATAAAAAGAGCACTTTTTATTCTTAAGTGTTTCTCAACTGTTGTGACCTCAAGACCCCACAATTTGCCACAATCACTAAATCACAATCACTTTTATAGAGGTTAAGAACAATAAAGAAAATGTGTTCAAATACACATGCGGTGATAAAAAAATTACCTAGGAAAATATGTACACCATAATTTAAATAATAGTAAAGTCATTCTGTAAATAATTTGGGTATGAAAAAAACTAATACAGGGTCAGACAAAATGATCTGACACATTTGTAGGTTAAATAAAAGGCAAATAAGGTACAGAAACAAAAAAGTGTTTTTATTTTCGAAAAGTACATATAATGCCATTTTGCTTTGTTTCTTTGTAATGTCAATTGTTTTTCGTTTCTTTTTCAGTTGCTGCCATGAATTGGACTGGTGAGCATTGCGCTTTCATTGTGGAAAAGTTTCTCAAAACAATGAAGCTGTTCCTGCAACACGACAAAAACGTTCCATTTGCACTTCAATCTTGGTACTGACTCTTGGACATGATCCCGTACCAGCTCGAAACATGATCTTGTTATGGGTTACCAACTTCAGAGCTACTGAACCTGCATTGAAACGAAAATCAACCGGCAGACCTTGAGGAGGCCCCCAGAGCTCCAGAAACTGATTTCATTTTTAAAACATAATGAAACAGAATGGCATTATATGTACTTTTCAAAAATAAAAACACTTTCTTTACTTTATTTGCCTTTTATTTAACCTACAAATGTGCCTGACCCTGTATAAAACAAAAGAAAAGCAATAAATTGTATATCTGTACAGTCATTAACCTAGGACCCCCAATAATGTTTTACTACCTGTCCACAACCTACCCATAATGAATCTGCGATTCACTTTTGGATACAAACGCAACCGCTATCAGGTGGATATTTAGTCAACTGCATTTATTTTCAGTTCTAAGTCCATCTCATAAAAGGACTATGACGTTTGTGCACTATAAATGCTGCCTGTAGCGTTCTTGAGTTACATATTCATTCTGTATCTTTAAGTGGTAACTGACTTGCAAAGAATGAACACAGCAATACTTGTATATGATGCCTCTGTATTTCGGGCTATAATTCCCATATGCAAGCAAGATGGTTTAATTTTTAACACCTTGTACTTGTGCAGGTTTCATCCATGAGAATTCTTGCATCTGGACACCTGACACACCCATTGGATGAAAGATCGTAATTAACACAGAAACACCAAAAAGCAATGACAACCGTACTTTTCGGTCACTCTGGAGTACGAGTCCCAACAGTCCCCCTGCCAAAAAAGTCTTTCTGAAGTCGCTTTTTATTTGAGACCAAGTCCACTAAAGCGACTTTGGGTTGGATTCAAAATTTCCGCCTCTGGCTACATAACACATCTTGATTTTAAAATGGCTTACCTAACTACAATCACACATTACATTTGGCCAAAGGCATAGTTTTCGTCAGCCATTGCATTGCGCCTTTTAGTACTATGAATAGTAAATTCCTTTTTGTGACAGAAGCTGTATGCTAAACCTGTGATACGCCCCATAATAGTTGCCAAGAATACAACCTTTCATTTCTTCTGCTTTCTCTTGGTGGTTAGAAAATACATTTGTTGCATTAGCACGGGGACACCACATGCTAAAAGAATGTGGAGGTAATGCAGCAAAAATATATGTCAACCGCCAAAAGAAATTAGAAGAAATTGTAGATGAAGTGTGAAAAGAAATGGAAGCATGAGAAAGAAAAGAATTTAAGAACAAGAAATGGAAGAAGAGGAAGAAGAAAAGCAAGTGCGAGTAGTAGTCGTCAGGGCAACTAATGTGTGACGAATCAGTTTAGCATGCTACTACAAATATTTACAGCGGCTAAAAGCGCAATAACAGATGAGGATTCTATCTTTGACCACAGTGCGACATGGGATTACAGTTAAAGTAAGCCATTTTAAACTAAAAAGAAAAAACATTTCAGTAGTTAGAAGCGCATGTTTTGAATACAACGGGAAATCATTAGCTGCCGCCATTGGGCATTTTGTTTGCGAGGGCTAAATTTAATATATACAACTCATGCCCGAGTACAAGTCCATGAAAAAAATGGGTGACTTATATGCGTACTTCTCCTCAGACTTGCGTCATTCTAATGTGTGCAAAATACAAAGCACACGTGCAATTGGTACACACAACACAAAAGGGGATGTGCCTATCGTGCTCTTTGATCTTATGACAATCGATCCCTAACTTTTCTCAGGCACAGAGAGGTTTTGCAAACATATTTAAATAAACCAGCAAACAAATTAGCAAATTTTCAACTCACCATTATGCAATTAAAATGAATGTAATTGGTTGGAGAAGTCCTTCACGTTTCTCTTCCACGAGCCAATCCAATGTATTTATAAAAAAAAATAATCATAATTAAAAAAAAAAGTTTTTTAAATCCAAAGGTGTGGCTTTTAATGCCAGCCAGGAACATGCATGAAGCAAAGTCGCAAAATGCAGAAATATAAGTCCCACTTTCTCCAACGTTCTCTCCAAATAAGTGCCTGTATCACGGTTTAAATGCTGTGATCGCCAACTCACAGCAGCTCTTTAATCAACCCCAAATAATTTTGTGTTGAGGACCAACGTTGAAGATGAAAATTTTAAACACCAGTCGGGGATGAAATGTTTGGCTAGAGAATTGAGGCATCTTGTCATCATAGGTGTATGCCAATGTTGACAGACTGAATCAGGCGCCTGAAAAAAAAAAAAGTTCAAATCCAATCAGCAGCTGTGAGAAACATTTCTAAAATCCTGCAAAGGTATTCAAGAATCTCCCCCACAGCTAACTAGATGGATACACGACTCTGTCAAATAAGGCCCCCCATACATCAGCGTCTGTCTGTGTCGCTTTACTGTGGTGTTCCTCAAGGGTAAGTATTGGGGTCCATTCCTTTAAATTTGAAAGGAAGTGCTCAACCCGCTTTCTTTCAAATCCGAAGGTTTTATCATTCGTATGCAGGTGATCTCAAAATAAAATTGTCTTTTAGCCCTCGTAGTACAGATAAGGGCACGATACAATTGTTTGGTAACTTAAGGGTTGGATGCCTGATAACTAGCTTCAGTTGAAAATGACAAATATCTAAGTACAGTATTTTTTTATGCTACCTTTTTACACATCACTGCATATTATTGCTGAATTGGATTATGGCCCTGATTTGCGTATTGTACAGTATATAGGTACAGTGTTCTAGTTACTTCAGATTTGTGTCTGCATCAGGCATGGAAAAAAATGCATTTATTTCTGCTCCCTCTAGTGAGGCACCTTGTCAGCAGATATCAAATCATTGTTTCTCCAACTCGCAGTATATTGAATGTGTCATTGTTGAAATGTTTCACAGCTTTTGCTTTGCAAGGCTCTGTTCTGCATACAGAAGTGCATTCTTCACTACCTCCTAAAACTTCACCTTAACGGATGCCAGGGCTACTGCGGATGCGTGTGCGCTGTGATAAAGATTTCTATTGGAGAGTAATTCAGAAAATACAAACTGAGGACACTTTGGACACACTTCAGACCAGCAAAACATATACATGGTCAGGGTTACTGTGTGATTTCTTTAATATGGCTCAGCAGTTCCCCTGATGTTTTTTTTTTTTTTTTTTTTTTTTTTTTAAACAAAGCACCCTTGGTTGGACTTCTCACCTAGATATACACAAATTGGGAGACATATGGAACAGGCCAAGACCTACAAACAAGTCTTTTCAAGCCCTATGAACAGGAATTATGCTATTTTTACTGTACTTAGGAATTGGGCCTTTTATAGAGGTCATATTTCAACAAACTCATCCTAGAAAATTTCCAGATAGCCTTCAATTTTGTGCGTTTCATCCAAGGTTTTTGAGATGAAAAGTCATTGCATGCTGTTGCCTTGAAGATGCACTATTTTGCAAAGATAAATGATGCCGTTTTTGAGGTTCGAAACCTTGGTGACTCATATTTTAGAGGGTTATTGTACTCTGTGTTCGTACACCTATGTGTAAGTACCGTGCCGCTGTCTCTGAAAGGGTTAATAGGAGCTCTCTATTCAAATGATGTAAAAAGCCACCATTTGAGAAATAAAGGGAGCACCAAAAACACACACACACACACACACACACACACACACACACACACACACACACACACACACACAAACAAAACAATACTTCGATGTCAGAAATGAGGAGAGGATTTATTAAACAGCACAAAAGCCTTGAAATTCCACATGTTCAAATCATAAATATCCCCCAAATTACCATAGGTTGCCGTCATCCTTAAAACAATCTCCACATTTTGGGCGTGTGATTTGATTACATATCAATTTACACTTCTACAGTATTAGGACAAGACTTAGTTGCTCAGAAGAGTCAAAAGAGTTTATGCCAGTAATTGAAGATATCAAACGAACTCATGGTGCTATTTACACCTGGCTTCTAAAACATCCTCCAACTGTGTGTGTGTGTGTGTGTGTGTGTAACAAACGTAAAATCCTCCAAATTGAAAAGTTACTGAACTTGAGGTTTGCCAACTGATGATGGACTTCAAGGGGAAGTCAACACCCCAAATTTATTTACGTGTTTTATGCGACCCCATTAGACTAAACACGGTACTCTGATTAATACTGCATTTGTGGGATATGCAAAATCTACCTGTCTTGATCCATCTCAGGGGGGCGTGGGTGGATCGCCACTTGCTGCTGACCGAAGATGACATCACAGATGCTCGGGCTAGGGTAATGACCAATCGCGGCTCGCCTGTTTTCTTAGTTTGGTCGTGACATTCGCAAGCTGAGCCCCGAGATGGATAAAAATGGCTGGATTTTGATGCTTAAGTCATGCCTCACTCACGCAACGCTGACCAGAATACCGTGTTTAGATTAGTTGGGCTACATGTATTATTGTAAAGAACATCTTTGACTTGACTTCCCCCATACGCCTCAATCGGCAAATGCTTGTGAAATTTTTAAACGTTCAAATTTTCTTACAGACAGGAAAAACGGTTTGCAACCTTTTAGAACCCTTGACAAAAAACCCAATTGCGTAATGTTCGCAAGCATTCACTGCCCAGTTAAATACCGTCTTACTTTTGCTTAAAAACAACAAAACTAAACGGGTCCTTATGCAACTGAGCATGGCGTGTGTTGGTTCTCTGCAAGAAACCAATTATGTATATAATATTTAAGCCAATGAAGTCTTTCTGCCATAATTATACGTGTGACATTTTTAGCACAGCCTCGCCTCCCATCATTAGCAGTAACCACAACAATAGATTTATCCATGACCTAAGCATCTGGTTCTAGGTCCAGATCTGCAAAATAACAAAATTTATCAAACTGATGAGCGTCGGCAAGTTATTTGCTCTAAGTAGGGTGCCAGTGACTGAACAAAAACAAAAGTTTGCTGCTAAGAATATTATACTTATTCTACAGCTTTCAGTCAGTGAAACAATTCTCAGTCACATAAAAACTTATTCATCACGTTTTCTTTTCTATTTTTTTTAATGAGGCAAGGTTCAATGTTGCTTAGCAGAACATAGATCATACTTTTTCCCCCTAACAACCAGAAAAAAGAAATCCTGATTAACATTGGGGCCCATCTCAATTAAAATATAACTCAAAAGCGGATTACCCTCACTCCAGGATAATTTATATGTATAAAATAAAAGAGAACTGAGAATTCCAAACTAAAAAATGAATCAAACATGAAAATCTCAAAACTTGATGACAACGTCAAATTCTTACTGCATTTTAAGGCTGTCATCCTTACTGTGGCCAGGAAATCCAATAAGCCTCCATTGTCTTCGTCAAATACAGAAATAATGCATTACAAACTCCAATGAGAATCACAAATAAATAAATCCAATGAAAGAGTTGAGGGTGTACTATTTTAAGGCAATGTTCTCTCAGTTTTCCTCTTGGAATTGTAGATACTTAAAGAAAAGAGTAGATTGACAGACAAACTTAAATTAACTCACTTGCACATAAGAATACTTGGGGGTGATGCAGTCAAAACTTGACAGCAATCCATGTGGGCTGGGACTGGACAACCTGCTCTTCAGTGGTTCTGGACACCTCAATCGCACCTTCACACACAACCTATATTACTTTCACCACGAGTCTGATTTCAGAGGTCTGATAAGCTGCCTCCACTTGCAGTAGTACAACCTTGTTTAGGGCACTAATCACACATCTTCCCCTCAGTTAGGTCAGTGCAATGTTCAATGTTTCCTATAATGAAGAAATTGCAATCCCATCAGTTGTGGGCATATAACAAAGCAGGCGCAAAAAAAAAAAAAAAAAAAAAAAAGAATAATGCAAGAAATAAAACTAGAATTAAAAATATAAAACTTGTTACATCAAGAGGGGGAATTAATGAGGGATTAAAGACTGTGGTCCAGACAGGAAGTCACACCTCAATCTAATGAATGTAGGCTCTGTAGACTGCAGAAATATCATTGTCTGACTGGTCCAGTGCCTTGGCCCGCTTGTACACCTGTAGCGAAAACAAAAGACGAGCTTTCTAAGCAAAGATCAGAACACACAAGAACCATTTTAGAGTGGCTCTATGAAAAGAAGACCCACACATTAAGACTCATCTCTTTTATCTCTTCCCTTGCCTTGCAACCCATTGTAGAAAGTCAGCCATTAAATGATGACAAAGGCTTGTGTCAATTGTTTTCAGAAGCAGCTGCGGACATTGGCGAAAAAATTTCTATCCTACCAGGTTATTTTCTACCATGACAGCAATGTATTTCCCTGAACTGTTCCATGAAATGAAAGGCATATGTTAAGAATACATATTTCATAGACAATACAAGAACATGAAACAATAAAAACAAACATTTATCCACAGGAAAAACGCCATTCAAACTCCCTGGTGGTACACCTAGTTTAAGGAATGTATATATTCATGTAACAATTAGGGAATCCCAGGGTGTTCACAATATCACAGTATTTAGAGTGCCTCGCTATCATCATGGCCTTGTGTTAAGATGGAGTTTTGGGTCGCCTATACATCGCTAAGTAGGGCGGCTATGGCGCTCTCCACTTTATGACAATACACATGTACAGTGGGGAGAACAAGTATTTGATACGCTGCTGATTTTTTAGGTTTTCCCACTTATAAAGCAGGTAGAGGTTTGTAATGTGTATCAAAGGTACTCTTCAACTATGAGGGACAGAATCTAAAACAAAAATCCAGTCGATGATTTTTTAAAAATTAGTGTGCATTTTACCGCAGGACATATTTGATATATCAGACAAACAGTGCTTAATATTTGCTACAGAAACCTTTGTTTGAAATTACAGACATCAGACGTTTTCTATAATCAGAGATGAAAGTGGACTTTCCTGAAAATTCCGGAAAAATAAAAATTATATATATATATATATTATATATGCATATACACTATAGGTAAGATCGGGCCGCCCGACCCAAATTTCGGGTCGGGCCGGGCCTAAAAATGTCAATCATTGTTCGGGTTCGGGTCGGGCTCCTCTCTCGCTGACTTTTTATTTTTGTTTGTTTCGCTCTCGCTGACTTTTTTTTTTTTTTCGTGGCCGT